TCGTGGTATGGCGACGCGGGACCGGTAACAGTCCTCTTCGCCAGGCCGTACGCGATCGAGGCAAAGCCGCGATCAACGGCGAGCAGCGAGTAGGCGAAAGGCGTGCGTGAGAGCGAAAGAAAGAATCTGAAGTGGGAATGACGACGAACATAACACCGGGTAGAGGGCTGGGGAGACACGGAAAAAGCGGATTGCGGCATAAAACACTTAACTTTGGGGACAGAGTTGACGGACAGTCGGTTCGAATACGGTGACTCTTTTTTGCTGGCTCTACCCTTCCTCTTGCTTCCCCCCACAAAATATATAGAATAATACGTTTATATATATAATATCAGTTAATTTATACACAATATTTTATACATTACTGTTAATATTACACAAGAATGTATTTTGCATACAGTACTTAAGTCTATTATAAGTATTTATATATATACATACATATATATGTATATATATATATATACACATACATATATACATACATACGTACATACATAAATACATACATATATACGTACATATATAGATTATATACGATATATAAGCGTTAGAGGGCGTTGAGAACTGTTTAAAGAAGAGAGATTTCTTCGTTTTCAGACTCGGAGGAGACGTCTAGTGGCGGTGGCTCCCAGTCACCGACTCACATTCGCATCAATTTCGAGCGATGCTTTCGCAAGGAATACAGCGCGACCACGCTGCAAGGAAAGACAACGACCTCGTCGTCGTCGGCCGCGACGGCCGGGTCCATGGAGGACTCGCAACAGTACTCCGACTCGGAGTCGGAACAAAAGGTGTCGAAAGAGAATCTGAGCAGTGCCATATTCAATCTGGTCGCCGGCGAGTCGGAGATCAGTCAGAGCGACTTCGAGGGATCGTTCAAGGTCGAGAACGAGAGAACGGAGGGCTCGGTGCGGGACTTCTGCGTGAAGGAGGGCGACGTGTACCGGTGCACCGTATGCCATCGTACCTACACACACATCAGCAACTTCTGCCGGCACTACGTCACCTCGCACAAGCCTAACGTCAAGTACTATCCTTGTCCGGTTTGTTTCAAGGAGTTCACGCGGAAGGACAACATGGTTGCCCACGTGAAGATCATACACAGCCTTAAGCCGCATATGAGTCTGAGCAGCAGCGGCAGCAGTAGCATGGGCCAGCAACGGTAGATCGTTGCCGCCGCCGCCACCGTTGCCGCAGCCGCAGCCACAGCCGCTGCCGCGTCTTCTCTTCTCAGGCCACGTTCCCTAGCTCTTCCCTATTCTGTCTCTTGAAGCAAAAGAACAAACAAAAAATGTAGAAGAGGCAAAACTGAAAGAGAACCTAGAGAGACGAAGCGAGCAAGAAAGAGAGAGAGTGAGAGAGAGAGAGAGAGAGA